AAGCCCTCCTATGGTATACCGAGTTGTTCTCCTGGGAATTGCCTTGAGCTGGGCTATCCTTTGAGTGACGGGCTGCCTGCAGCCGGTTATGCCGAGCTAGCCGACCCGAGGTCTTTGTGCCTCGGGGCGTCCGAAGAAGAATCGGTGCGTTCTTGCTTGGGAGTGGCCCGAGGTCCATTGGGAGGAGCTCGGATCGTAAAAGGGGTCAGGGTGCCCCGAACTCGGGGCCCCCCGAAGTGCCTTAACCCCGGGGAGGAGGTGTGGGCGAGGCGGCCTTCGACAAGTAGTTTCCCTGTCGAGTTGCCGTGCTGAACTCGGTGGGACTTCCCCACCGAGTTGTGCTCACGTCCGTTATGCTGTCATGTTGAGTCATTGTTTGAGCAAGGTCACGCCCACGTGTACCTGAGCTACGAGGTCGGGCCAAATCACCCTCCATCAGATGCGATGTAAATCAAGAACCGATGTAAAATCAGTTTGCTTTTGTATGCATTTGGTAGAATAGTGTAATTATTATCAATGTAAAGCTATACTCCGGTTCAGTATTATATGTGTTTGGATCGATGGGGTGTAGTTTTACGTAAAACCTAATCACCTTTAAAGTTTTACATCAATGTAAAACTTTACATTTTTTTTACATTAATTTTTCAAAATGCAACGATCATTATATATATGATTCAGTGTAAAATACACTGATGACGTTTTACACCTCTTCAAAATGCAGCCTTAATAACTTTTCCTCAACTTTCTGCTTCCCTTATTTTCTATAAACCAAAAATAGCCATAAGGATGCCCCTGTATCAATAAAGGGATGTGCCCAAATCACTCCCCATTATTTGATCTGGCACAAGCCACTAGAAGTATGTACACACAGTGATACAGGAGTGAGCCTTGCTAGCTAAGTTTTATGCTTTGGAGTTATTGGAACTGCCAAAACACATTGTAATAACTTGGTTGTCATAGTGTCCGTTTGAGAGGGCTTTTGGGATGTGGCTTCTGGCATTTCAAGTTGGGTTCCACATGAGAATACCAAAATCTGTACATGGTAATAATCGGGCGAGGCAACATGGGTTTTCTGAATGCCAAAATCACTGCTCAAATATGAAGTTATTCTGAATAGCTTCTCTGGAACATCAGTGCTCAACTATTGCATCTCAATTATCACAACACATCCCAAATGTAGAAGCCCTCCCGGCCCAGATAGTATGACGAGTTAGAGGGGAATTTGTCTGCAATTTTTTCCCTTTCTACCAAAGAAAGAACAAGGAGAATTTGGCCCATTTCCCAAGTATGCAGGGGAACTTTCCTGCTCTCCAGAATTGCATTATTATGTAGGAAAAATAAAAGAAAAATTTAGAATTCAGTCCACTCAGAGACTTTTATTATTTTTTCCGTTTTATTTATCAACACTTTCACCTATGATTCACCATCCCCTTTAAATTTTAATCCGTTCCCCCACTTGTCACTGTTCCAACTGTAAAAATTGTAATAAAGTTTGTTGGGGTCGACTGAACAATAAAAACCCCAAAGTAGAAACCCAACGTTGTGTTGACTGTTGGTGGTTCACAGCAGAACAAACATTGGAACCCACTCTTACAAGTACAAAATCATTAAAGCGGATAATGGGCCTATGGGCCCTTAAAGCCTCTTTGGTTGCATTGCCTACAATGGAGCATGGAGACCACCGATCCAATATCCAATGGTAAGAAGATGAGATTGAATCCCACCAACCGAGACAATTATTTTTATGTGGGCATTGACATTTTAAAGGTAGTTAGCTAGTCTGTCTAAATCCAATCAGACATCAATAAAACCCAACTTTCACTATAAATACCAAGCCTTGTAAGCTTTGTGCATTATTGTGTTCGAGATGGCTGTCATGGGTTCTAAGGTAGCTGCTCTTCTCCTCCTCAACCTGGTTTTCTTCACTTGTGTGTCCTCTGATGATAAGGTGTTATGCCCTCCTAACAACACCCCAAACAGTCCCCCCTCGAGTCCATCCATCCCTAAGAAGCCATCCAAGTGCCCTAAAGATATGCTTAAGTTGGGTGTATGTGCCAACTTGTTAGGGTTGGCTAACGTACTTGTGGGAACCCCACCCCATGAGTCATGTTGTGCCTTGTTGACCGATCTCACTGATCTTGAAGCTGCGTTGTGCCTCTGTACTGCTATCAAAGCCAATGTGTTGGGTGTAGTCAAGCTCGAAATACCTGTTGCTCTAAGCCTCGTAATAAATGCGTGTGGGAAGAAGGCACCTGAGGGCTTTCAGTGTGCCTAACTAGTCAGATAATCTTGTTGATTAATTTGTTTATGCTTCATTTTTTTTTTTTGGTGTTTCACTAATTAAGTTGTTCATGAACGTCTCAGCCTCCTGAATATGGAGTATGTAGGTTATGTTGCTTTGTTCATCATTTGTAATCTTACTCGTATATATAGTTGGGGAATGGTATTGTAATAAGTTACATAGTTGCTTTCTAGATTAGGGTGAGGGAGGTTGTCCAGGATTAGGATTCAATTGGAATAGTTTTAATTGTTTCCATTATCTCCAGATGTGTACACTCTATTTAATGCATGGTTTTGATCAATCGGTTCACGTTTTCTGAGATCTAATAAAACTACACCTCTCTTACCTTGTCTCTATAATTGTTTTAGACGATAAGAAAATATCAGAATAATGTAAAGAAAATGTCGTAGCGAGCAAAACAAATACTATCATGGAGGCTGAAGGATTATTTGGACACCATATCCATTCCCATGTCTAGGAAAACCTTTATGCCCCATTTTCTTTTTGGTAAGTACTTGCCCGGGTAAATGCATTGCTTGGGTAAGTGTTTCCTAGGAATGATTTATCCAAGTAAGTACATTTACCCATGTTTTTTTATTTCCCATGTAAATAAGGCAATGACAATCTTAGTCATAAAAATTCTATCATTAAAATAGGCATTTTTGTCCTATACAAGTATTGGCAACTTTCCCCTATGGGAAAATTAATTTGCCCACCTAGGAGATGGATATCACTTACCCAGGTAAGTAATACCCAGGAAAATAAACTTTCCCTAGCCCTTACATAAATCTGAAAAAAAAAAAGAACACAGGATTCTTGGTCAATGGGAACCAAAATCCCATTGAGAGGGGAAATGTTGGTAAAAAATCCTATGTTCTTTTTTTCAGATTTATGTGGGGACCAAGGAAAGTTTATTTTCTTGGGTAAGTGATACCCGTCTTCTAGGTGGGCAAATAACTTTCCCACCTAGGGTGGAAGTTGCCAATACTTGAATGAGACAAAAATGCCCCTTTTGATAATGAATTTTTATGGTTAAAATGGTCATTGCCTTATTTACATAAGAAATAAAAGAACATGGGTAAATGCTTTTACTCGGGTAAGTGTTTCTCAGGAAAACTTACCCAAGTAACTGCATTTACCTAGGCAAGTAACTTACCGAAAAACAAACGGGGCCTTAAAGTAAAAAAAAAAAAAATAATGTCATGTTTGGTTCAATTCTCATTCTTGCTCATTTTTTTTTTCAATAGTAAAATTCGAAAATGAACAAAAATGGGTAGAAATGGACAGAATAAGAAAATTTTGCTACAAATCAAACACTTTTCTCAAAAAAAAAAAAAAAACTTTTTGTAACAAGAATGAGAATAAATTTTGAATATAAATTTAATTTTCATTCAATTTTTTTCATTAATCAAAATAATAATATAGATATACATACAATACTCATTAACAAATTAAATAAAGAAGGTTCTGCTAGATGTGAAAATCTCATGAATGGGTTCCTCTAAAATATTATAAAAGGGAAAATTCTATTTTAGTACCTGAATTTGGGAGTAGTGTCATGTTAGTACCCAAACTTTCAAATATGTCACTATAGTACCTAAGTTTTCAAAAAGTGCTAAATTGGTCCCTACCGTTAAATGACCATCAGTTATCTGTTGAAAATGTCAAAACTAACTTTCAAAAGAAGATACTGTTCATTGTCTTCTACCTTGAGATGGAACAATTGAGGTGTTTGACATTCTAGACTAATGAAGTCATTGTCTTCTACCTTTAGATCTGAAACACATTCTTGTCTATGTCTAATTATTTCTTTGCTTTCAGTTATTGTTTCCCTCTATCATATTTCATGTTTTTTTTCTCTTTTTCTTTAAAATAACAGGTTCAATCTCAAGGTAGAAGACAATGAACAATGTTTTCTTTTGAAGGGTAGTTTTGACATTTTCAACGGATAATTGACGACTGGTTAACGACAGGGACCAATTTGGCACTTTTTGAAAGTTTAAATACTACAGTGACGCGTATGAAAGTTCAGGTACTAAATTGACACTACCCCCAAAGTTTAAGATACTAAAGTAAAATGTTCCCTTTAGGTTGTGTTTGGTTGCAATGCAATTTTATTTGCACTAGTACAAATTCAAGTGAGTGCAAATGGAAAAAATGTAAATTATCATTTAATTTTGTTTTGAGTTTTACTTTATTCTGCTTCATGCCTTAATTTACCTCATTTGTAATGTAATCAAACAAAATAAGCTAAAATTTGAAACAAAAATAGATCCAAATTTACACTCAAATCATTTGCACTGTCATAATTTTACATCAGTACAAATTTATTTGTATTGCAACCAAACACAGCCTTACTAAAATTCTGATTATATTTGGTATTTGATTCCGACGTTAGCAACTAAATTGGCTCTCATGTACCATTTCCTTTTGTTATTTAATTTTAATTATCAAAACAAGAGATTCTTTTCATAGTTAAGAAGGAATATTTATATTTAAAAATCTTATTTTAAATAAATTTATTTAAAAAAAATTAGTTTAAAAATTTTGAAAATTCGGGTCTCCATTAAAAATCCACCTCCATTAGAAATTAGGGATGGATGATCATTTTTATCGGTGAGGATGAGGATGAGGATGAGGACGAAAATAGAGATTTGTTTCAAAGAGCGTTCCTGGCCCACTGCCATTCCTACACATGACACTAAAACCACATATTAAGAATATAGCTGTCCCAAAGGAAAGCCTACGTTTGGTTAGCATCTTTATGGGTGACATAATCATTACAGTCAATGCGTGGCTGCAGTGAAGGTAGCAGTAGCTGAGAGAAGCTCCATTGCGTGGCTGCAATGTGTTGTGGACACGTGTAGGTAGCTTCTTAGTGGGTAAGTAGCACTGGTAGATATGAGCTCTGTTGCAACTTGTCACATTCCCTTGTGCCACATAATTTTTGGTAAAGACAAACTTTGGCTGTCCAAGTTCAAGAGCATTGGCTGCCAAAACTGTATCTCCCCACCACAAGTTAACATACGACCTGTGCTCACACCCTTAGAATAGCCTCTTGCAACCTTATATTAAAAATATCTCTCTATGCAGTATTTTCAATGTAAAAAAATTGTAACCTTATATTTGACTGCCTGTACCGCCGATTATGGACAGCCAAAGTTTTCTCTACATAATGGATGGAAACATAGCGCCATTATATATCTAAATCTAATAATTTTTTTTTCATAGGTTTATATATATACATATATACCTAAAATATTTGGTAATTTTCTTGTGACTTGTCACAGACTGGAATTAATCCGCATTTTCACTGTTGGCTCGAAATTTTTACCGCGCACCACAAAGGGATTTTATAGAGCAGTGCCCCCACCACCACCACCAAAATAGGAGAGAGATGATACCCCAAAAACTGAAACCACAGATTTTAATTTCTAGCTGTATAATTGGTGAAGGGGAATTGCAAACTTGCACAAAGGTGGTGCAACCGTGCAACTTCAAATTGAAAATAATTAATCAAATTTAAAAGTAGAATTAATATATAGATGTGACATCGATCAGCGCTCTGTGCTACTCCCCACAAATTCATGATTCAATCTCAAACCATACCATCCTGTGATACCACATTTTGCGGTTTTCACTTAATTGGGCTCTTGAACTGTCTAAGCTTGAGAAATATACAACACAACACAGAAACAGCATCAGAAACAATAAAACGGTTTTATTAAATATTCATTAACAGCATCCAGAATGAAGTAGAAAACAGAAATCCATCAGGGCTTCCCTGCGTTAATAAGACAGGTGCTTGTGTGTGTGTGGTCTTTGTTTATTCGATGGTGCTTTTTTACAATATCCAAGTTGTTCCCGTAATTCCCATCTTTGTCGTCTATGTTTTCCAAGTAGCTCGATCGTTTGCCAAGTACTATATAATCAGGTAGTCTTGGAGAAATGAACCATTAATTAATGTCTCAGCATCATTCAACAAATAAATTTGAAGGACTAGATCGATAGTCCAGACTGAAACGACCTAATAAATTACAATGACAAACTGGTGCTGAGAAATTAAACTAAAACAACGTAACTAGCATAGATTCTTGACGAACATAACACTGACTTAGCTTGAAGTTGAAGAGGTGAATGAAACAACATCCTAATGAAACCATGCATACTAATTATTAATGTGGACATAAATTAAAACATGATTAGGAATCATCAAATCATTAACGAACCCCTAGCTAGCTCCGAAACGAAACGAATGGCAATGACCCAATGACTTAGGCACATAGGAAGTCGGATGGGAGCTTCTTCCCGCAAGTGTTGACGAGTAAGCTGAGTGAAATGGGAATGTCGAGGTTGATGCCCAGGATGTTAGCTTTGATGGCGGTGCAAAGGCAGGCAGCTACCTCAAGGTCGACGAGGCCTTCGAGCAGCGCGCAGCAGGGGTGGTCAGGAGGGTTGCCGACTTCCGCCCCGATTGCCCCATTAAGCAACTTGGCACACACACCTAGTTTCAAAGCATCTTTGGGGCAGCTCCCTGTTGGGGTAGGTGGAGTGGGTGTAGGCTTAACGCAAGAACCACACCCACTCACCACTGCAAACAAGACAAGGTTGAGGGAAAGGAAAAGAGCAGCCGAGGAAGAGCTCCTGGAATCCATCTCTCTCTCTCTCTCTCTCTCTCACAGACTCACTCTGCGTCTCTAACAGTCAGTCTTTGCAATGGTGAAGGCACCGACTGGCATAACATTCTAAGCTCTATTTATAGAGAATGCAACCAGCACTCCTACGAATTAACAGGACGAGGAGATGTAGTAGCAGAATAAAGATTGGGGCGCATGTGATGCAAGGCTAGCTGGCCATGGTTTTAGCTGGCAAAGCTAGCAATAATACCCCCCTCTTTGGAATTTTGTGAGGTGGGAATGTAAAATTCTCCATGTTCCCAGCTTTGAAGCTCTCAAAGAATTTGTCCCGTGAGATTAGCCTGGTAATGCTGATCAGTCTAGTCCATTAAATGGGAGATCCCTTTAACTGGGTTTGATCTCATCGATGACATTGTGGTCCCATCCCATTCCCATGCATGCACTCAGACAAATAATGTACATACTCCATTGGTAGAGGCTACACATGCACCTCCTGATTATATTGCTCTGTAACACAATTCCATCTTCTAGTAATGCAATTTGTTACTCTTCAGACTGTTATCTATCCCTAGCTAATAACATAGGATTCAGGGTATGTAACAGTGTCACTAGAGGCACAACCAGAAAGTTTGTTAATTAGGTGCAGCGGATCCTTTCCTTCATATACAGTTCCTTTAAACGAAAGCGATAGGTGCCAAGAATAAAATTGCTATTTCGGCTTGTTGGTTTCATTGTTTGGTCTATTCTTTGTCCCCCATAACCCTAACTTTGAGTCTTTGAGGACCAGTTTCCACCACAAGTATCTAATATCTTTATGAGAGGAACGAAACAAAGGTGGAGAGAATTTCGATCAAACGTTTGACAATACGGTATAGCTAGCAGTTTTATTTTTCTTCTGTTCTGAAATTGGCAGCTACTATAATAATTTGCTGACCTCATATATTTAGATAAATGAAATGGGCCTTAAATTCGATCATCAAGTTGGTAGTACTGATGAGCACTCTGCTCTCTGCACTCGGCAGTAAAAAACAAGGTGGTGGCCATTGTCATGTTGCTGACAGGTCCTTTACAACTTGTTTTGAAAGAAATGTATCACGGGCGACGAGCCAGCGCCTCTTGTGGGCGCTACTACCCTAAACCTTAATTCTTCTTTGAATTTGTACTTAAATCTAATAACAAACTTAAGTTGTCAACTCCTTTTCTTTCATTCACACGTTAACACATTAATCAGATTCTTCTTCTTTCTTCTATCCTCCACCCTCCCACAAACGAATTAAGCCATAGACATCCCTGTGCATGTCGGGCGCACTCTGTGGGACACAGATGTGAATTCTAAGATTTCTGTTCTATGTAATGGGGAGATTGATGTAACTCAACGTCTGTGGGGCATTGCTATTCTCCTTTGGACTTTTGGAGCCTGATCACCACCACTGCCTCACCGGAGTCGTTGGTGTTTAAAACTACCAAGTAATGGATATCATGAATTCCATGAATCCCCGTTACAAGTCCTAAGTATTGAGATTCTGGGATTTGTGAGTTTCCAGATCACATCTCCGCCCCACTTACAGCACATCTCCGCCATGTATTGGAAACATCTCCCGATCACCACCATGTATTTAGACTCATTATTGCGGGGATGTGCTGTGGGGCGGAGATGTGAACTCGTGAATTCCACCAACAAGTCCAACTTGCAATTCCAAGCTATAATGAATCTGAATGACTGCGAGTCCTGAGTAGTCACAACCCACAAGTCCAAACAACCTGCAAGTATAGATGTCTTGCGAGTCACAAGTGAAACTAACTCAATTGTGATTCCCTTAACATTATGGGTCGATACAGTTGTGGCTTAGGCCCGCATTGTGGACGGGCCCGGCGGGGCCATAAATGATCATCCTAATGATAATTAGGTTTAGAAATTAAATTACTTAAAAGAATTATACTGTTACTATTTATATTTATAATAAACTGCATAACATCCACATATGAAGCAATGCCCAAAAATCAAATGTTCTGAGCGTGCACGAATTAACGTGTACACAACCAGCCACTCCCCCCTCCTGCGGAGTGGGTTGATCTGATACTTGGATCCATTTGCCCAATGTTTTAAAATCCAATCCTAAGGTTAAATCGTTTATGTCTTTAGGTAGTAGGTTATCAGTTCAATCATCCAGGTTGAATGGGTCAGACCATGGTGCCTTGGGACATATGGATGATAAAAAGTTATACAAAACCAAAAAAAGATAACCTCAATGTAAAGTTATGGGCCCCCAAAATTTATATACCCATTTAATGTACAATCCAAATCAGACAATTAATTTGATTTTTAATTATTTTTAAATTTTACTAAAACGGTATCTTAATCGGGTGATAGTTAGAATAGTTCAACCAGCCAAAACAACGACAGGTTGAACTACTTTTAGTCTTTTACCCATATATTGACACATGGTGCACCGAGTCAGCCATCGGATCTCAACCACTTTAATATAATAGATTAATTGTGTAAAACGTGTGAAACATACATGCCCAAGACAATATATCATAAAGTGAACAACAATTTTTAGCCAAATCGAAGGCAGAACCTGAGAGGATCATGAAGGGAAATGGAAAATGCACAAATTCTATATATATATTTTTTAATCCAAAATTTACTCCCGTCGGTGGAGGGGTGGTCATGATAAAAATGTATTGATAATTTCTAAAAAATAATAGCTTAAGAGGGGGGATATTCTATAAAATATTCCCAAACATTGAATATATATTCTATAAAATACACAAAAATAATAGCTTAGGGGCTATTATTACTTTAGAAAAGTTTTGGACTGACAATTGGGTCCATTTCCGAGAGTGGTTACAAATTTTACAAAGCTAGCAGACGACTTTTATGGCTATGAACTGTGATCAAACACACAAGCTAGCAGACTATGAATGGCTTTCGTGGCTATAAACTGTGATCAAACAATTGGCATTAAGGCTCAGTTTAAGGTGTACAAATACAAATTTATAGAGTGCAAAAACTTGTATTGTGTATAATTTTGTATGTAATTGTATTGTACATATTTGTATTTGTATTCTTTCCTAACTGAGCCTAAGGCTGTGCTTAGTTGCAATGCAAATAAATTTGCACAGATATAAATTAGGGCAGTGCAAATAATTTAAGTGTAATTATGACTTATTTTTGTTTCAAAATTTAGATTATTTTGTTTGATTGTAGTATAAATGAAGTAAATTAAGACATGAAGCAGAATTAAATAAAACCCAAAACAAAATTAAACAAGAAATTGCATTTTTTTCATTTGTACTCTCATGCATTTGCACTAGTGCAAACTAATTGCACTGCAACCAAACACAACATAAAGAAAAAAGAAAAAAAAAGAAGCTTTTTACCCTTTCGAGTGCTGAGTGCTGAGTTTTGAATGCTTTGTGTTCCTCCTGAGAGCTTCGATCGCCCCCCATGGCTGCCCCATCGGGGCCCCATGACAGCTCTAATTGTCCTTCTATGACTCAAAAAGAAAAAAAAAAAAAAATCTTTTACAGAAATAGTTGCTGAAACTTGTGCTTTGGAGCAAGTTAGAACTAGTTTTAATTCCAATCCATAAGATTTCCACAACTATGTTAATGGAGCCCCTTACAAAAGATGGTAGAGCCTCTCAAATTGCAACAATCTTGGTTTTAATGGCTTTTTCACGGTTGTGGAGTTGGTCGAAATTTCCAAGCAATTTATTATCTTAAAAGTGTCCGTAATCGAAGGAGCCTATTGTTGCTATACTATGAATCATGATTTTTTTTTTTTGTTTCAATCTATTGCTCGTCTAATCACCAAGGAAGACAATGAAAGTTTGGTTCGTATTCGGTATTCCTACTAAAGAAGAGATCAAATCAACAATTTTTACTATGAATCATGAAAGTGGTCCAGGTCCAAATGTTTTTGATGGCTTGTTCTTCACACTAGTTGCTGGAACATTGTTGGCATGGATGCTATTAAGGCCATTAAAGAAATATTTTACATTAAGTGTTTGCCAAATACTACACTTCAATTATTATAGCAAAAGAGGTTTGCGTTTTATTTATGAAAATGGATATGCTGCTTTTTTTTTTGCTCTTCTCTTCCTAGAGGTTGTGACATCATAGCGAACTTAAATGCAATTTATTACAGCATCTAAGAAGGCTTTAAGACAATTGGTGAATAAAGATAAATCTTGCTTCATTGTTCATTAAAACATGTATGCTCTAAAGGTGAATATGATCAAACAGGTAACAGGTTTCTCTCAAAAGTATATTCCTTTTATTTACTTAGGTGCTCCTATTGGAAAAAAATGTCTTCGAATTAATTTGAACCTATTTTGCAAAAAAATAAAAAACAAAATTGATGGTTGGAGAGCCAAACTTCTAATTAGTGGAGGGTGTTTGACTTTAATTAAGCATCTCCTCTAAATTTAACTAATTAATGTCCTTGGAGCTGCTTCTCCTCCCAAAACCATGATCCCCATGGTTCATAGAATGTTTGCTTTTTTTTTTTTTGTGGGGAGCCTTGAATTTTGGAAACAAAAAACATAGGATTGGATGGACAAAAATTTGTAACCCTATTGATGAAGGGGGTTTGGGATTGCAATCCATGTTTGATATTGTTAAGTCTTTCAGGTTAAAAGTGTGGTTTAAAATCATTAAAAAAAAGAGAGCATGTGGGAAAAATTTATAAAATCAAAACATATAATGTCCACACCTCTAATTTTGCTCACTACTCCTTCCTACTAGATTTTGGAAAGCGATGTTAGAGATGAAAGATATTGCTATTAATTCTTGTTAATGGATAATAGGGAAAGGTGACATGTAAATTTTGAAATGTAATCAAAGTGGCGCTTTCACTACAAAATCTATTTGGAATCATGGGCGGCACATCTACTAGTTTAAATATGTTTGGAAGGTTAACCTCCTAATTAAAATAGCTATTTTTATGTGGGGATTTATGCATGGTATTGTTCTAGTTGATGAGATCATATCATGAAGGGTGTCTATTTGGCTGCCAAGTGCAATTGTTGTGGTAATCATAGGGTCGAGCTATTTAATCATTTATTTTCCACTCAAGTTATGGCTTCTAAAGTTTGATCTGAAGTAGTGGATCAGGTCCTTTATTGGTGGAATGCTTGTAAAATAGATACTTATGTGAATTAAGTTATTTGTATTGCCCCTTCTATAATCCTTTGGACCATATGGAAAAGAAGATGTAAACATATATATATGAAGGAAAGGGTTCCTCATTCCTTTTACGTGTAGAAAATATTAAGAAATGGTAGAGGGACATCAATGCTCAATGATCCTTCAAATATGGATAACAAGTTAACAACCCTCTTTTACTTCAGGTGCTGAACATTCTTCAGAAAGCATCAAGACAAATTAAACAGATATAGATGGGTTACCTGGAAATTTCCAAGCAATTTCGCTCACAAGATGAATGTAGACGGGGCTTGTCGTAGCAATCTTGGTGAAGGAGGAGGTGGGGGCTTACTTAGAAACTCTTTTACAACTCTCATATATGCTTTTCACTGTTATTATGGTTAGTCTACCTCTATTCAAGCAGAATTGTTAGCTTTGTATGATGGTCTAAGTCTATGTTTTCAAAGAGGCTATAAAGAGATTGAGGTAGAAAGTGATAACAAGGTAATTATTGACATTATGATGGGAAAATTAGACTATCCTTGGAATTCTGTTTACATCTTGCACAGGATTAAGAACTTAGTGCAAAGAATGAATACTAGGTGGACCCATATCCTACAAGAGGGAAATGTCCTAGCATTGGTGAAAGATGCCCACTTAAGGTGATCAATGCATTGCAATACATCTTTGCTTTGCTTTGCTTTTGTTGGGTGGGCCTGAGATAGAGCTATGTATGCATGAATTATGAGTCATCCCCTGTTATTATAATGTTCCTTTTGAAAATGGTTAATAAAATTTAAGATAGCTGCCCCTCCACCTAGAATAAAGTTTGGAGCTAAAAAAATACATCACCAGTGCATTGCAATACATCAATCCATTGGCTTCCAACTACTCTCATGGTGATTTCAATGTGAAGGTACTTGTAGAGTCACAGCATGATTAGTCTAGTATGTTACAGCCAAACATTATATAACATGGCTCCACACGGCTTAAAGGGGTCAATGAATTAACAATGAACCAGTTGAAATAATGTGGATATTGGCCGGAAACCAGTTCAAATAATGTTCCGGTGGAGCCCATAAGAGGGTTGGTCTGAGTTCTCGTGACACTTACATCCAGCTAATCAGAACACGCCAAGGAATGAACTATTCTATTTCTATATATTTTGCATGCGTGATCTCAATATCATTAATTACATATTGTTTACATGAGAATAATCCCACATTAACTGGAAATCCATGTGTTTTTTACCATTAAGTCAAGAAACTTGCAGTAATCAATCCGAAAAATCTCTTCGATTGGATTGACATGTACAAAAATGTTTGATCCAGTACTTAATGCTGAGTGGCAATCGAGAAAGATGCATGACTATGACTGGAATTGGATTCTAAAGTCAAAGCCTGTCAGAGAAGTAGAAAAAGTGGTAATTTGAGTTCAATCCACCTCAGAATTTAAAATGTGGAAGAAAGAGGGTAAAAGAAAAATCATCAGTTAGATGTAACCGAGTTTCAACATCAGTTGAATCCACCTCAAATAAAGTAAATAAACTATAGCATAAAATTTCATATGGGGAAGGGGAAGGGGCCGGGAGCTTATGTCAAATTTGTTCCCCACAACATCAAATGTTCTATATGTTAGCCTTTAGCCTTCCACTGACCGATCAGTACAGCAGATTGGAAGTTGTAGTACAGCCATCTTAACCAGAGTAACGATCGATAAACAAAAAGGGATCCAAAGGGGTGTAATACATATATATTAGAATAGGGAACATGGCAAGTTATTATTGTGAATCCACCACAGAAAGCTCCAAAAAAGATTGCGTACAATCGGTTGCATTGCCAGCTAAATCCATGGTGACACATGGATGCATGGATTTATTTTATGTTTTAGTATTATTTTTATTCATGTACATAATAGAAAGCCCACCACCTTTGCACTCTATAAATACCCACCACTCAACAATTCTCTGCACCACCACCCCAGAGAACCTAATAACCCTAGCTTCTCCCAGCTATATTTTACTTAACCTATCTACTACCAAGTATTAGTATTATTAGCTAGGGTTTGGGAGATGGATTCCAAGAGCTCTGCATCAATTGCTCTCTTTCTTTCAATCAACCTTGTCTTTTTTGCCTTTGCATCTGCCTGTGGTTCTTGCTCTAGCCCTTCAAAGCCACAGCCAATTAAGCCAACTCCAACATCTCCCATCCCTGCAGCCAAGGGCACCTGTCCTAGGGATGCCTTGAAACTGGGTGTATGTGCTAATGTGCTTAAGTTGGTAAGCGTCAGTGTTGGCACCCCACCATACCTCCCATGTTGCAGTCTCATCAAAGACCTTGCAGATCTTGAGGCTGCTGCGTGCCTTTGCACAGCCATCAAAGCCAAGGTCTTGGGCATCAACCTCAATGTCCCAGTTTCTCTCAGCTTGATTCTCAACAACTGCGGTAAGAAGGTTCCTACTGGCTTCAAATGTGCCTAAGCAAATCCCCCCCCCCCCTTTCTGTGTGTGGCGTTTACCAAGTTATGATGAGCTCCTGGCATAGCTACTAGGAGAAGGGCTTTAATTTGTAGCTACCTAGCGTTTATCTATTATTGGGTTGGTTCACCTTCAATAATTAATAAATATGTGAGTGCCAATTTGTACTTCTCTATCTATCTGCTATGTATTTATAAACCTTTGCTTTGCAAGATCATTTATTTGATTTTGTAATAAGAGTAAAATTCCTTCCTTTCTGAATGCCGGCCGGAGGCAAGTGATATTCATTTAGAGATGGAGACCCCACCTCTCATAAGCCTTATAACTCTCAAAGTTAAAATAATATTAATTGTTTCCTACAATTTGCCATGTGTAAGAATGCATGTTATATATCTATGATGTACTTAGCTTTGTTTGTTAATTACTAGCAGATCCAGACTCGTATAGATTATACAAGTAGATTCATACATTAAGAAATATTTTCTTATGAATTTAACATATATGTAAAGAAAATATTATTCCCAATGTGCGATTAGATGCTATATAATTAAAGTTTAAGATAATTATCCAAAAAATAAAAAAAGAAAAAAAAAATCTGCATGCAAGGTGGATGTTTTTTCAGTGTTCAGCAGAGTATTATAAATATCCAGTTTGGATATGTTGGGATCTTTTCTAAAGGGATGTCTCAATTGGTTATGGTACCGACAATTTGTATCTTCTAATTAATCAGTGTAGGGCAACATTTTAAAAAATGATTCAAAAATAGAACTGTTCTGACTATCAAAAATGGAACTGTTTGACTCGATTGCCTGGTTCGAATGGACAGTCCATTATTACAAACAAATAAAAAAATAATTAAAAATAAAAAATGGTCAAAAACCGTTGAATGAATCGACCACCAGATCAATGGATTGTTGATTTTTTCAACGGTTTTTGGGAAAAGACTGAATTTAGGGCAAAACGGAACTGGGCCAAACAGTCCAACCAACCAAACAGTCAACGGCGGTTCAAAAACCTTGATGTAGGGTAGTACACAAACACATCCAAGTGGCAGTAAGGTCATATCCTCCATGAGGGGACTAAACACTTTCTTAGGCAGTTGATCTGCTTCTCTGTTCCATACCCGTCTAACATCCCACCACCCCCCACAGAAAGTCTCTAATTATCATTTGAGTGATAGAAGAAATGCAGCAGCCACTCTTAATTAACGTTTAATTCCAACTTCACACCTAATTCTCTCTGCAGAGATTGAAACTGTAATTCTGTGAAACACTTATCTGCCGTGCTGGGCACACTGAGCTACAAGACCTTGGTTTCTGTTTATGTAAACAAAAGTTAATACATATAAAGTTCTCGTTTTTTTTGGAAAAATCTATGATACAGAAAAGATATGGTATGGGAAGAATTTTAACCAATCAAAATCCACCCATGAATTTTGATAAATAACACCTGATTAACTATCACGTTTACGATTTCAATTGACTGGTCAAAAGTTTTTTCAGATATCATATATTTTCCATACCATAATCGAACCCTTTTTTTTTCTTTTTTAATTTGTTGGTAAAATACAGAATTCTCATTATGCTCAAGAACTTGGTCCAAAAGTGGCGTAAGGGCTTCCATATATCAGAAAACACCAAGAATGTTTAAAAGACGCCTACTATAAGAAAGGCATGAGAATGAAGATAGTGATGGATCAATTGCCGAAATTGTTGAAGTATCATGGATTATAGCAACTTGGGTATAGAAATATTAGTGCCACAGATCGATGTAGCTGGTGAAGGAAATTATTGCTTTATATTGACTTAAAGTTAAAAGAATATTTTGGATGCCTTTCACTTTTGTTTCCTTTTGCATATTAAGGAATGAACCAATATATATAAGGGGCAAATTTTGATTAATCAAGACATTCCATACAACAAAGGAATATTCAGAATTTGATCTCAAGTTTCTGGTCTGTTTGAAAGAAAAAATAACCTATAAGAAAAATGCATGGCTGTGATTGTAATCAGTACATTAGGTTGAAATACAGCACATTAATGGATCCTGTTTAGTTTAAGCACAGATAAAAAAAAAAAAAATTAGCAAATCCAAAATGTTCAAGCATTTTATTTTTGATATTACATTTATATACATTAAAGGGGTATTAACGGGTAGGGACAGAGTAGGGTGAATGTGAGGTCCACTATGACCTTGTCAGAGAGAGCCTACAGTTATGCAAATTGTTCCTGCACCTTCCTTCATATTTAAATTTTGAATGGACGCCAATCGATCGACTGGGTCACCCTAATATGTTGCGATTTTTTGATCCTTGACATTGTCATCTTGAATAGGAAGAAATGATATATAATAAAATGAGCTGCTGCATCCCTGTTAGTGCTTAAAACTGTTTAGAATTCACGTAAAAGGCAAAGCTAATCTATTTACTGGAAAGCATAATTTTATTGATGAATTTAAATCATTAAATTCAACTAAATCAAAGATGCACGTAGCAGAAAAATAGGCAGCAACTAACCCATGACTAATAACTCCTAAGCTTATGGCTTTTTCCTAAAGAATTGGTAAACACTACCTAACTTCCTAAAGAATAGGATTACAAATTTATTCTGCTGAATAACAACAAAATAATAAACTTTAATACCCTTCCTTAAACTGAATGTTATACAATCAGCATTCGGTTTAAACTAGAAAATGAAACAACTCCAAGCAAATCATGCAACTTCACAAATGCACCCAATTTGAGAGGCTTGGTTAGTATATTTGCAACTTAGTCTTCACTGCGACAATAAACCAATTCAATGACTCATTTTGTGAGATCTCGAACAAAATGGTATCTCACATCTATGTGTTTGTTCCTACCATGTAAACTGGATTCTTTGACAGTTTAATGGCTGAACTATTATCACAATATATTTGTATACTCTCCTGCTTGAAACAATACAACAATTCAAGTATTCTTTTCAACCAAATAGTTTGACACACATAAAAAGCTACTGCTATAAACTCTGCTTCTGTTGTAGACAATGTAACAACTTGTTGTTTCTTTGATGCCCATGAAACAACCCCTGAACTCATCATAAAGACATGACCAGAAGTATTTTTTCTATCTTCTAAGTCTCCTGCATAATCACTTTCAAGTAGCATAAGATTCTCTTTGCAACAAGGAGATGAAGCTCAGTTGGAAATTCTATAAACCTGCTAATTAAACTTACAACAAACATAGTATCAAGTCTTGTTGTTGTTAAGTACATCAAACTTCCAACAATTTGCTTGTATAAAGTACTATTAATCTTCTTTCCTTCATAGTCCTTCGTGAGCTTCAAACTTGATTCAATTGGAGTTTCCACTGAGTTTGTTGATATTATGTACTTAACAACAACTTCTAGTCATGTCTTTATGATGAGTTCAGGGGCTATTTCATGGGCATCAAAGAAACAACAAGTTGTTACATTGTTTACAATAGAAGCAGAGTTTATAGCAGCAACTTCTTGTGTGTGTCAAACTATTTGGTTGAAAAGAATACTTGAATTGTTGCATTGTTTCAAGCAGGAGAGTATACGGATATATTGTGATAATAGTTCAACCATTAAACTATCCAAGAATCCAGTTTTACATGGTAGGAGCAAACACATAGATGCGAAATACCATTTTCTTCTGAGAAAGAATCCGTAGACCTTTGAAATTCAAATGGGCATATCGCAAATGCCAAAGCCATGTGGACTCATTTACATCAGCCTTAAAACATGTTTCAATGCTTTCTATTTTAAGTGGAAACAACTTGTTTGAAGTCATCTTGACATGAGCTATTACTCCTCTTCTTGGATCATAGATTTCACAAGCACCTACTTTGATTGTTGTCTCATATCCCTTCTCTTGCAGTTGTCCCATACTTAATAACTTGCTTTTCAAATCAGGAATATAAAAAACATTTGATATAGTCTCAACATTGCCCTTTTTAGTCCTAATTTGAACATCACCCTTTCCCATAACATTTACTTTAGAATGATCACCAAAGGTCATAGTAGAATGAAAATTTTCATTTAAATGGGAAAAGAAAGACTTGTTACCACACATATGATTGTTGCATCCTGTATCTATATACCATATGTCTAGTTCAAGCTCCTCCTTGAGGTGAGATGCCATCAAGAGTGTTTCTTGTTCCTTTTTCTCTGCAAAGTTGGAATGCTCTCCTTTGTCATTGTTAGAGCTTGCGGTGCATTCAGACTTGTAATGACCAAACTTGTGGCAGTGGTAGCACTCGATGTTGGACTTATCAAACTTTGAGTCATTGTTGAGAGGTTGCTGGTGGTGATCATGTCCTCTACCTTTGCCCCGAGAATTTGGTGTATAAGAACCTCTTTCTCTTCCTCGTCCTTTTCCATGGCCTCGACTACGACCTATATTTGATCCTCTCCCTATAGAGATTTCACCATGAGTTGAAGCCTTTAAAGCATGTTCTTCGATTGAACATGTTGATGTTGTCATTCTTTGCTCATGCACAAGCAAAGAACTTTGCAGTTCATCGATTGAAAGTTCATCAAGATCTTTTGACTCCTCAATAGAACAAACCACATAAGAGAATTTAGGAGCCATTGATCGAAGAATCTTTTTCACCACAGCCACATCTTCAATTTTTTCACCATGGATACACATCTTGTTTACTATTGCCAAGGTTCTTGAGAAATACTCATCAACAGACTTTCCTTGCTTCATGTGAAGAATCTCAAACTCTTTGCGAAGAGCTTGAAGCTGCTGCCTTTTCACCCTTGTTGTGCCCTAATACTTTTCTTCATGGAATCCCAGATCTGTTTACAAGTATCCTTTTGCAAAATAGTTTCCGAAACGGAACGATCAATTGCTTGAAACAAATAATTCTTTGCCTTGAGATCTTTTAACTTCCATTCTTCTAGTTTCTTTTGCTCTGCTTCTGACAATACAACTTTAGGAGCTAGTTCAGCCACACTTGTTTCCACAATAGTCCAATACTCCTCCAGGAGCTGGTTCAGCTACACTTGTTTCCACAATAGTCCAATACTCCTTGGATCGCAGAAAATTCTCCATCAACATACTCCAATGATCATAATGACCATCAAAGCGAGGAATTTCTGGTTGCACATAGCTGTTATCTGATGCCATTGTCACCTGCTAGTTGTCTGCAAAAGAACAAAATAAACCCAAAACCCTTGTTGGCCCTGATACCAAATGTTAGTGCTTAAAATTGTTTAGAATTCACGTAAAAGGCAAAGCTAATCTATTTACTG